AGCCATGGGGCCGGCCCTGACACTGGTTATCTCTGAGACAGTGAAACTGTGGATAGTAGTAGTTCTTCTTATTTTACTGCATTTTCAAGTTTATCTTTACTGCTTATATATATTATTTTTATAACATAAAATCTAGTTTATACTTTTAAAGCTAATGCTATATATGATATTATGTTGATTATTCCATAATCTAGCATTACTTAATGCTCAGTGAATAATTAGAAAAATACTTGAGATATTTATCCCACACGTCTTTTTCCTTACTATCAAAGCAGTAATACAAGCCTAAAAAAGAACTGAACATCCAAACAGCAAAACTAAGACACTGAAACATGAGACATATAATGGGATATTGTAAATTTAGCAAATACGTCTTCGAAATATGAAAGTTAGTTTAAAGAGCCTTAGACAAATTGATTTTTTGGGAACTCTTGAAATGTTAAATAGTTGGCAAAACAGAAACTAAAAAAAACAGAAAAAATGAAAAATAAATCTCAAAAAGGCTGTGGAAGCCATGGAATATCATAAATTGGATACACACTTTAGGCAAATACGTCACTAACCAAAAGGGTCACGAGGCAAATTAGCTTTGTGTCAACAGACATGTTCCATGGCTGCTGAGTCCACAGCTTCATAAAAATGTAAGTGACACACGACACTCCTTAGACCAGGCTGACTGGTTCTTATCTACATGTGAAATTGCCGTCACCTTTTTCCGAAAACATTAATATTCTGACCTCATCAATATGTGAAAGTTTTGGGAAACGCACCACTGTAAACTGTGGGTCAATTAATCAGGCCCTCCACTGCCCAGAGAGGCCTCTTCCCGGGCTCAGAGACGCCTGGCATCAGACCCACCCGCGCCAACCAGTGAGGCCACCACGCCCTCCCCTTCCTTTGCCGCAGGTCCCTTTGCACACAGTCAGCTGACTTGGTTGGGAGGGAACCCATGGGACTCGGAAACAGTTGAGCAGGAGCTACTGGAATGTTCTCTTTCTCATATTGCTAAACAATAGCGTAATTAAGTCACAAGTGACATAAATCAGATCCACTAAATGCAAAAGGCCCAGTAGAGGGGCTGTAAAACTTCCTAAAAAGCCACGTTTTTCTACAAATCCCAGCTTACAACCCAACCCACTAGGAACACTCAGCAGTTTGCACCGCACGTGCGCCTGTCCATTCCTACACAGGGTCGTTCATTTTTAGGACTCCAGCCTCCCTTTCCTGAACCCAGCCTTGGCTGGGGTCTCCCTGATTAAGTCCTGTGGTTCCAGCTGAGCTATCTGTGTCCTGTGGATTTAAACCGTGGCTAAGGATGTTTAACACTGTGCCACAAACCTTCTCTGGACACTGGACATTGAGAGACGGAAGGACTTGGTTCCTGCCCCTTATGGAGCTTCCAGTACATTGGGAAGAAAGATAGATATGTAAACCAGTTGTTCAAATGCATGAAGTCACGGTTGTAACAGCCGCACACACCAGGGAGAGCACACCCAGAGTCAGGGAACACCGCGGGGGAGGCAGCACGAGAGCTGAGAGAGGAGATGGTGAGGAGTTCATTTGTGACGGAGGGAGCAGCACACACACTGGCAGGACAATGTCATGGGGACTTTATTTTGGGGACTTAGAAATAATTGGAGTATAGTTGGAACTGTGCTGTCTAATACAGTAGCCACATGTGGCTATTACACACTGGAACTGTGGCTAGTCTAAATTGGATGTGCTATAAATGTAAAACACGGGATTTCAAAGGCTTAGTATGAACAAAGAGTGTAAAGTGTCTCAATTCTGAATAGTGATTACATGTTGAAATGATACTATTTTGGATAGTATTGGGTACATAAAATATTAAAATTAATTTCTCCTGTTTCTTTTTACTTTTTTATGTGACTGTTAAAAATTTTAAATTACATATGTGGCTCATATTAAATTTCTATTGGATAGCTCTAGTTAGAGTACAAAATTCTAGGTTGAGAGTGTCAAAAAATTAAATTAAAATAAAAATAAAATAAAGATGCTAGACATACAGCAGGAGGCAGATGGCTCAGGTCTTGAACATCACACAGGGAGAGTTGCTGGGACTCTAAGAAGGGAAGAGAAGGAAATGTCAGACGCCTTTGGAAAATCACCCTGGAGTCGGGGGAAGAGAGACCAGGGCAGAGAGAGAAATAGAGGCAGGAAAACTACGGAGGCAAAAATGAAACAGTCAATGAGAGATCAACTTGCCTTCCAACCTCTTGCATCCGCTCTCAGGGTTCCTAGCCTTCTCTGTGCCACGGAGCCAGTGGCAGTCTGGGAAAGCCCGTGGACCCTCTCTCAGATAAACGTTTTTAAACACAGAAAATAAAACACCCAGGATTACAAAGGAAACCAATGATTGGAACACAGGCATCATTTAAAAAAATCTGTGATATGGCAATAGGTGTGCTTCTGATTGACACTTTAAATAAGATATGGCAGCGGGCCTAACAATTATGTAATTTTGAAGGATTTATGAATACGAACGATATTTCCAGCAACAGCTTTCATGAGACACAATGACACCTGTGCTTCCACGAGTGGTGAGGCCACGGGTCTGCTAACCCTGCCGTGGTTTGTTGCCTACATTTACGCTCAAAGGAAATGGTAAATTTTAGTGAATGGTTAGTGAAATAAATGTAATTTTTCTGCACCCAAGTCACGAACCACCTTGAATTCCTAGGTTAAGGACCCCTGGTAAGATGTTCCTGGGCGTTCCTCACAGGTAAGTTAGGGCCCCTCTAAACGGGAAGGTGCAGGGAGTAACAGTCAGACGCTGTTTTACTGCTAGGACTTGTCTATCCCCATCACCACGTCTACGACAGCACTTTAAGCCAGCAGACACAATGGCCCAGAAGATGTTTTAATGGAATATTGGGTTTCTTTGGGTTATGAGTAGAACCTAGGACCACAGGAACAGGCCCAGGAGACCCAGAGGGAAAACTGTCGGTTAGGGTTTTTCCTTAGTTCTCAGCTGAGTTCATTCCTGCATGGAGGCGAGTCTCTCACCCAAAGGAATTTAGTTGAAAAACAAACACAGCAAAAAGACAAATACTGTATGATTCCACTGACATGCGCTATCTACAGCAGTCAAATTCCTACAGACAAAGTAGAATGGTGGTTACTAGGGGCTGAGGGCAGGGGAAACGGAAGTTATTTAATGGGTATACAGTTTCAGATCTGCAACCTGAAAAAGTTTTGGAGATGTGTTTCGCAACAATATGAACATACTTACTACTGAAGTGTATGCTTAAAAACGGTTAAGATGGTACATTTTACATTATGTGGGGTTTTTAAAATCACAATAAAAAAATGGTTACAATTGCAAAACAAACAAACCAAACGAGACACTCAGATCCTAATTCTGGTTCAACTTCTAATTGTCCCTGAGCAGGACAGCCTCAAAGGCGGACCTGCTGGACCCAGCACAGAGTTTCTTCAAGCATAAAACACGTATAAAGGGGCCGGCCCCGTGGCCGAGTGGTTAAGTTTGCACGTTCCGCTTCGGCGGCCCAGGGTTTCGCTGGTGATCCCGGGCACGGACATGGCACCGCTCATCAGGCCATGCTGAGGCGGCATCCCATATAGCACAACTAGAAGGACCCACAACTAAAATATACAACTACATACTGGGGGGCTTTGGGGAGAAGAAGAGGAAAGAAAAAAAGATTGGCAACAGATGTTAGCTCAGGTGCCAATCTTTAAAAAAAAAAAAAAAAAATATATATATATAAATGCTTTTTAAAATGAAGACCCAAGTGTTTTTTAAAAATTCCTTTATATAACAACAGAGCTCATCTTTGCAATTCTGGATATCGATTTGCACAGACTAAGACAATCCACTAAAACTAACAGCAAACACTTAAGTAGCGCTAATTATGAGTGAGGCACTAGTCCAAGCGCTTCATAAATCCTGACTCATTAACTGTTTAATCCTTATCACAATCCTCTGCTGGAGTCCTCCTTTTATCCCCACTTTATAGGTAAGGGAACCAAGGCAGAGAGAACTAGTAAGTGGCGGAGGTGGGATTCAAAACAGGCAATTCGACTCCAGAGCCAGCCCATGAACACCTGAGGCAGGGACCAGGATTTTTATCTCTGAATTCCAGCACCGAGAACAGTCCTGACTCATAAGAAATGAATCAGTCAGCAACCATTTATTGAGCAATCGATTACTGCAGAATTGTGAGGCATTTTCACCACTTAGCAGTTCTGAGGAAGAAAGATCTTCCTCTCCGCTTCCTCTATTTTTTTAAACTTGGGAAGGAGAAACTTCCTAAGGTACTTCCTAAGAAACTTTCCTAAGGAAAGACTATTGCGGGGTGGGGGCAGAAGGGACTCCCATCATAGGGGTTGGAGGAATACTGCAATAGAAAAAACGCTCTGATGGTAAGATCTCCAAGTGCCTCCCTCTACTAGTCTTTTAAAAAACGAGTAAGGCAATGCTCCTGACTTCCCAGCGTTTGGGACTAGTAGCCACTGCCAGAGACACTAACCCACCCTGCCACTGAGTTATCTCTGATAGCCAGGAGGGGTGGGGAAAGGAGTGAATAAGAGAGAGAAAGGCTGTCTGCAGACCAACAACGAATTCTAGGCACTGGTCTAAAACTACATATGCCGGGGAGGGAAATAAGGGAAGGCCCTAAAAGTCACCAAAAAAAAAATCAAGGGGAGACCTTAAAAGGGCAGCGGGTGGGAAGAGTTCTTTATGGCTCAACAACCACATTCTGCCAACTCTGGAGGAAGCAGCTGCATTTCTAAACACAACAGGCTGAGACTCAGCCCCAGTCCACACAAGCCATCCTCTGTTGCAGTATCACACACATGCGCCAAACATCAGCGGATTTCAGACAGGTGTAACCTAAACCTGTGCTCCCCGCACCGCACGCAGAGGAGGATCGTGGGAACAGACGAGGACTCAGGCCGCAGTGGGATCACTCCAGATTTCTGGCAGGTATGGCAGGGAGGTGGTCAGGACTCACCTGTACGTGTACGGTCCCACTTCTTCTAACCGAGGGGTCTCCCCTCTTAGGATCTCCTCTGGATTGGTGACATTGAAGAAGTAGAACTGGGAGTACACAGGCAGAGGGGGATTCTTCCAGGAGTTAAAGGTCTCGGAACCATTCCTTAACACAACATTCTAGGGGAGAAAACCAAAAGGAGATTTACAAAGTGTTAGGCAGTTGGCTTTGAATACAGAGGCAGAGGGACACTCCCTACTCTGACCTTCTAGCTCGCTTATTTTTTCCACAGGCATTCACCTGCAGTCCCTTGAGAGCAGGACCATGCCTTATGCCAATATGAAGCCCACAGCTCTATAAAAGGTCTTCAGTAAATATTTGTGGTAGAAGAAGGATGCTGGAACCACAGCTCATGGGTAGAAACATGGTGTTACCAAACCAAGACCACAGACTGAGAACCCAAGAGGCCCTATTGGCTTTGTTACGAAGATGCGACTGATTGTACAGCTGCTGTGGAAGTTAGGCCATTCTGAGACACACCATGCACTCCCAGGTGGTCCACATGAGAGAACAGGGAGATAAGCCCCAGAAGACAAGCTTTGGTCCTTCCACTTGAGGTAGAGCCACACCCATCCTTACCACCTCCACCCCCAGGGGCTTTACATGCTTTTTCATTCAATCCCCGACAAACCCATCACACAGACATGTCAATGCATATTTTAAAGAGGAGGAAGCTGAGCCTCACTGAGGTTAAGCGCTTAGCATATTCTTTGTCTACCATCCTTCCCTCGTTTCTCACCCGTACCATGTGTTATGGGAACTGTGTGGCCCCCAAATTCATATACTGAAGTCTCAACCCCCAGGACCTCAGAATGTGACTGTATTTGGGGATAGGGTTTTTAAAGACAAATTTAAGGTTAAATGAGGTCATTATGGTGGGCTGTGATCCAATATGACTGACGTCCTGGTAAGAAGAGGTGATTAGGACACAAATACACACAAAGGGAAGATCACGTGAAGACACAGGAAGAAGACAGCCATCTAAACCCAAGGGGAGAGCTCTCAGAAGAACGCAACCTTGCTGACACCTTGATCTCAGACTTCTAGCATCTAGAACTATGCAACAATAGATTTGTGTTGTTCAAGTCATCCAGTCTGTGGTGTTTGTTATGGAAGCCCCAGCAAATAAATAAGCCAGGGCCCCCGTATGGGAAGGGTATCTTCCACCCTACTGACTTCAGGCTTGGCCAAATGATCTGATCAAAGAATGTGGATGGAATGGCAATGCCCCAATTTTGGGCTAAGGCCTTAAAAGGCATGGCAAGTTTCCACCTGCCACCCTCTTCCAAGAGAAGAGCATGCCTCAGGTAGCTGTTGACACTCCAGCCAAGGCCCTAAAATGGTGATGTGTGGACCAGACATGAAGCCTGGAGTCCAGTCTCGTTCAGCTGAGCCAGCCAAGCACAAACTGCAGCCAACCTGCGCACCTGAGAGTAAAACAAACGTTACTGTCACAAGCCACTGAGATTTGGGGTTGTTTGTCATCCAGCATTGCAACAGAAGCCTGATTAATCCAGCACCCAAGGTTAATAGACAGAAACCTCATATCTAGCAGCCCTAATGGTTCATAATTTGTCAATGGAAGAAAACTGCATTTTCACAGCAAAAATTATTGAAGTACACAAGAAAGGTAAAAGCATAGACTGAGACGTGCACAGTGATTAACTCTGCGTATTGGAAATTTGGATCACTGTTATCTTCTCCTTGATGAAATTTTGTACTTTCTGAATTTTTTATAACAAATAAAAATTAACATTGAGAAAATTTTTAAAAAGAAAATCGAAAGGGAAAAGTGGGACCTACTGACAGAGATAATGTAGGGCCACTAGTGAAACAATAAGAAGTAGATTGCAAGAGCAGCATTCCCTGACGTCACCTGGCACTTCTCCGCAGTAAGGTTTTGAGTAATGATAAACAAATGAAGTGGCTTCAAAACATGGTAGAAACCACATGCTAAAATGCACTGTGACAAAGCACACAACAGGATGTCAAATTTTAGCAGTCCAGCCTCCAATTTAATAGAAGCAAGGTTGCAAAAGAACTTAACGATATTGTTATACCATTAAAAAGAAAATATTCCAAAAATCTTTGTAGGGAAAATCAAAGTGGCTCTGGAATAAATGAATGCAGAACACCTAAGCTTGTCAAAGCAAAGCTTGTCATCTGGAGAGCTAGATGCAAATTCACAGCAAGAGTTGGCCGTGTCATAGAACTGGGGATGACTTGTGGTTTGGCATCAGTTCAGAACATGTAATCATCAGATTTCTATCCGAATGACACATGATTGAAATATCCTTGGCCTTTACTATCAGCACTAACTTACTGAGTTGAGATCAGATTGATGAGATAGAAAAATCTTGAGACAAATCATGAAACCCTGTTCCTCCAACCTTCTGGATCCAGCTCAGACTCTCTCCGTGGTGAAGCCCTCCCCACCCGCCCCTACACACATTGATACTCTGCCTGCCCCAGTCAGGAGATTTTAATCTAATCAGTCTTTGTAAGCAATTTTTTAAGAGCTTCATGGTCTTTTATCTTATCTTCTAAACAGGAGTCTTAGCTTTCAAGGGAGGGAGAGAGTCAGGCCCAGAGAGTGAGAGAGCACCAGAACTGGAAAGGCCCTCAGGGTAAGGAGATGCAACCCTGAGGCCCTGGAAGGGTGAGGGATTGTGCTGAGGGTCAGAGAGCTCCTTAATGTCAGAGCTGGGTCCAGAACCCAGTACAGCTTTTCTCCACTCTCCCACCCTACCTCTGCATACAACATTTTAATAAAATGGGTATAAATATACTACACATTTTAGTTATATAAGTTATATAGTACAGTTTCTCTGCTATAAAGTATGCATATAGCAGCTAGAAACAGCTCAGGAACATAAATTTAACCTTCCTAAAACTAATATGTTAACTATGAGAAGTCTAACATAAATAACAAATTTTTTGTCTTTTAGAGGATTTTGAAGGCTCATAGATATTTTAAAAGTTGTCTGGGGGCCGGCACCATGGCCGACTGAGTTCGCGCCTTCTGCTTGGTGGCCCGGGGTTTCACCGGTTCAGATCCTGGGTGCAGACATGGCACCACTCATCAGGCCATGCTGAGGCGGCGTCCCACATGGCAACCAGTGGCACTCACAACTGTACCAGGCGGCTTTGGGGAGAAGAAAAAGGGGGGAAAAAAGAAGATTAGCAACAGATATTAGCTCAGGTGCTAATCTTTTTTTTTTTTAAAGTCTGATTTCATTAAAATAAGAAATTTTTCTTGTCCATAAATTTCCAGAAAAGGGCAGGGCAATAATTTTCCCTCCTCCATGAATTCCTTGAGTAGCCCCCTTCAACTGGATGGATCATCCATTCTTTTGAACCCCTAAAACATTACATAGGAATTTCTTAGGAAAAAAAGTGGTCAGGACAGAAAACATCTTCTAAAAACTGAAGTTAACAGGAATCAACATGAAGCAGGTGATATGAGCAACGTAAAACGAAAATGAAAGTGCAGCTACTCAATATGGTAATATATTAGGTTCTCAAAACAGAGGTGCTGACCTACAAAAAACAAAGTAGGGTTTTTTTCTTTAATCTTCTCCACAGTGTCTAGGACAATGCAGTTCTTGGAGAAATATTTGTTTAATCAACAAAATACAGTACTAAAACACTTACACAATAGCTTCCATGGACTCTGCTTATCAGATGTTGGGGAAAAGAACTGGATATGAGGCAATCAGAGACGAGCAGATGAAAGGCACGGACGGCCAACGCAAAGCCACAGTGCCAGGCCTTGTAACAGGAGCTCGACAGCTCCAAATCCAAGTAGGGCCTTTAATGTGTACCCAGAGGAAGTAGTTGTTTACTGGCCATTTTAGTCACATTGAGATATGGAGAAAGCAATAGCTTCATTAGAATCACAGGTGCCAATCACAGATCTAGCACCTCTCAATTTGTCTATCTTATCGGAAATCCGGCACCCTACAGAGCTAAGTGCAGCCAGTTCCTTTTGTGGGTGGAAAGAAAAATCTATGTCCTTCCATGACCTCTTTTCCTAACAACTATTTAAAGCAGTGTTATACCCATGGTTTTCTTGCTAAGTATAGAAGTATTCTTGCAAATCATCAAAACACTATGTAGTATGTGCTAGGAGATAACCAGCAACATAGATATGGTTTTTGTGTTCCAGGAGCTTATCCTCTATTTAGGGGAATATTGTTACACCCATGCAATATAATCAATACTATAAAGTAGTATGTGACAAATGGCCAAAGAGTACACCAGACGATGGTCTCTACAGCGTTCAGACAATGGATTCTACGAACGGAGATGGAAAAACATGGTCTTTAAAGTGAGCTGGGGATAATAAATAAAAATTTTGCAAGCATGGGGAGGTCAGGGTGGTGGATGCATTATGGACAGCCAGAGTTGATTCAACTATCCTGTCTGGCTGGACAGAGTGAGCCCTTCCTCCCTGCCCTCTGTCCATCTCTCCTAGAGTCCTCTGCTTAATCAGAAAGATAGCAGATGTGGAGAATGAGACAGTCAAGCATACAGAGGTGGGGTAGTATTAGGTGTGACTGGGTGTGGGTTTTATATGGAGTAGGGAGATTCTTTTAGAGAGGTAGGCTGAGATCATAGGAGTCTATGACGATATACAACGGGGAGCCATGGAAGGTTTTTGGGCTGCAGAATATTATCAAGAGCCAGGCACTATAGGTTGCCACTTTATCTCATCTAATCCCCTTAATAGTCTACAAGGTGAAAATCACCTTCCCCATTTTACACTTCAGGAGAGGTTAGCAGAACGCCTAAGGTTTGCTAGCAGTGAGTGGAGCCAGCCTCCCACCCCAGGACTCACTCCAAACCTGCGCTCCTGGCAATGCTGAATCTTATCGGATCCCTGTGCTCCTGGAAAACGGCAACAGTTCAAGAGTCCCCACATCTATGTTCCAGGAAATGGCCTACTGCAAAGAAACACCCTTCCCCATGTGACTTGGATAAGATTCACAGATGCCCCCCTTGTTTACCTAAGACAAAGCCAGACACAGACCCTTCAGATTTCCATTTTTTGCCTCATAATTGATTAGCTGAACCACTTGTTCCCACCCATCAATGGGAACAAAATGCTTGTTAATGTGCAGCATGGTGACTATAGTTAATAGTACTGTATTGTATACTTGAAAGCTGCTAAGAGAATAGATCCTGTGTTCTCACCACACACACACACACACACACAGAAGTAACTATGTGAGGTGATGAATATGTTAATTAGCTTGATTGCGGTCATCATTTCTCAACGTAAGCATGTACCAAAACATCATGTTGTACACCTTAAATATATACAATTTTTATTCTCAATCATACCTCAATAAAGCTGGGGAAAAAAATGCTTGTCAGCCAAACTTTGGTTAAGTTTCTCTCCTTGGCAGCCTTGTTTACTCCTCCCGCTAAAGGAAAAATTCTGACCCTTGCGGCTGTGCAGGTCACACTGCCAGAGGCTCTCCCGTGTGCAAGTCCCCTCCTTCTCCTGCACCAGTCCTTTCCCCTTTGCAACAGTCCTTCCAAACGGTCCCTCCCTACCTAAGGCAGGAGACTCCTAACTTTTGCGCTACGCTGCCTATGTTGAACTGATAGGCAAGTGGCGGTTTAGAAGGTTATGCTGGCATAGCTGGGAAGGAGGGCTTGGCGAGGATTACTGTTCGGATTAACGAGGTTTGAGCAGAGTGCTTATCTCAGGCCACGCTCAAAATGCCCAATAAATGGTGACCGGGGTCTTGATTGTTCCCATGTGCAGGCTGGGGCTGAGAGGGGTCCAGGGCTTGGTGTGAAGAAAACAAGGACTCATGTCACTACCGTGATTCTGCTCGAACCCAGCAAATGAGAAACAATAAAAGAGAGAAACAACAACAGAACGTCTTTAGTCATGATCCTCTCTTCCAGCTCTAAATCTAATTCAGTTTAGGTTGAAACAACAAGGAATTAGCATAAAATTGGAAATAACCAAAATGTTGAACAGGAAAAGAATGACAGTAAATTATGATAATTCACAGGTCAGAGTAGAAAGCAACCATGAAAATTATAAAAACTACACAGAAATAAGAAACAGGCTCAAGATCTATGTTAAATGGAAAAAGCAGACAATGTAAAATATGGACATGTATGGACAAAACTAGCAGATAAAATGCAAAATGAAAATATTAGGGGGGGTGAAGTATAGATAATTTAAAAATTGCAATCTTTTAGTTACCCACCAAATCTCTAAGCATCCACACCAAACGTCTAATGGCGCTTATCTCTGTGGAACAGGATTATGAGGGGTCTTCCGTTCTCTCTGTTCTGTTTTTCTGCATTGTTTGGATTTTTTACACAGAAATAAATTACTTCTGTAAGCAGAAAAAAATAATTGCTCCCTTATGAGTTTTTTTAAAAACTGAAAATCTAAGAAAGAAACCCCGATTCTATGAAACGCAATTCCACCCTAAGAGAAAGGAGGAGTGGATACATAGAGAACCAGCTAGGTTTTTCCTCTGTTCTTGCAAAACAAAGGCGAGGCTCATGTCTCATCAGCTGTGGTCAGCTCTCACACAAAGCTCCAAGAGTCCCATCCCCCTCCCTGGGCTGCCCCGTCTCTCTCTTCCTATTGTTGTCAGGAGGTTGATTTCGCATTCTGTGTTCCACGCTAACTATTCCTGACAAGCATCACCGTAGGCACAGAACTTCAGAATGAGAAAGGACTTGCAATCTCACTTATTTATTACAGAAAATCACCTCGGAATTAGGATCCCCGAAACAGTCAGTGAGTGTGAACGAACAGATGGTTAACTGCCCAAGGTTATCTTGCCTGGTTTGTATCCAGCTCTTAGGCAACCAAAAGTCCAAAGGCAAGTGGAAGAGTTTCCACCAAGAAGGGGGGCAAAACCCTTCCCAGAAGAGAGGGTAAAACTCGCAGTTCTTACAACAGTCAGACTTGAACTTGTTCCTCCAAGTTTCAAGTTCACTAAGGAAGTTGCAGGATAGAAATAAACATTTAGTAGACTTGAGTCCTTAACTAAACAAAGCAAATGAAAAACCTAACAATAAAACCAATCCTTGACAGCTTGCCAGAGTCACACGGATAGCAGATTCTGTTAGGACCCGGGCTTCTCCTCACTGCCCGCCCCCGCCCCGTCCCCCTCCTCCCCCGGCCACTCTTAGCTGAGTCAACACCCACACAGTCTCCTTTTATTACACCACCTTTTATTCCATTCAACCTTGCTCTCAAGAATGCTGGCTTCTCCTCCACCTTTAACGTGTTTCTTTCCCTGCACCCGACATGGCTGGATGTTTGTCAAGGAACCCACCATAAATCCCAGAGTAGACTGCTTGTTGCATGTGTGTGTGCGTGTGTGTGTGTGTACACACTAAGTAGGGAAGGAGAAGGGGAATGGGAGAACAGGAGAAAGTTCATAAAAACAGCTGCCAACATTTCTAAAACAGTTGCTTCTTTATGTTTATCTCCTTCCCCTGACGTTCAGCTCAAAGGACAATACCATTACCACCAGGGCCAGCTGCTGTCTACTGTGAGTCTCCAGGAGTCAGGTGCCGTGCTAGTGCTGTATGAACACGACCTCTGAGCGTTACACTGGCTCTGCAAGGTAAGAATTCCCATTTTGCAGATAAGGAAATGGTGGCACTGGCTTTCCCAAGCTCACAGAGCCAGTAAGTCAAGTCAAATCCTCCCAAGTCCAGGTTTGTGGGTGGCCACTCCAGCAGCTGCCATCCCACGGCACTCCCAGGGGAGAGCTGCCAGATTCCGCTAATAAAAACACGGGATGCCCACGTATGTCCCAAATATTTCATGGGCTAAGTCAAAAATGCTTTAATTCTTAGGAGACGCATGCTGAAGGATTCATGGGCAAAGTGTTGTAACGTCTGCAACTTACATTCAAATAATTCAAGAAAAAGTGTCTCCGAGAGAGATGAGGTAAATATGGCAGGATGTTAACAGCTGATAAATTGAAGTGAACCAAAATATTGCATGAGACCCACTCACTAAAATATTATTTGTTGTTTATCTGAAATTCAAATTTAACTAAGCATCCTGTCTCTTATCCGGCAATCCTATCTCAGAGAGACCATGAAACTGTGCAGAAACCACAACCTAGGCTCTGAGGCCTTCCTGGGAAGTCAGCAATTCCCTCTGCAGGACAGGAAACTAGGGCTGCTGCGTGAGGTCATGGTGTGAGATCACGGTGAAGTCTCGGTCTGGAACTGACATGTGAGGAACCGAGAAAGGGAGAACTGGGCCCTGGACTTTCCAGGCGGCTGCTCCGCCCTGGTTATGCTAATGCATCCAGAGAAAGCGCCTCGACCTCCTGCAACAAGACGGTCTAGAAGAGGGTTCTCTCGTGACCTTAAACTTCTAATTTCTGGCCCAAATCCTCAGGACATTCAACTGTACACTCCTAGGAGCTTGCTTTGCAAAGAGAGGACTCAGAAACTAACAAGTACTAGCTCTAACCTCAAGCCCAGAGAATGTCTGACACAAAAAGTCATTTACTCCACCCAACACAACGAGCCAGTTTCCCAGGTCACAAGGAGCCCTTTGCTCAGTCTAAACATAACGCTGTGGCTTGGAAACAACTGGTCTTCCTGACTGAGGACTCTGCGGTGGTGGTGACAGCCACCAGACAAGCCCTGTAATCAGCAGAATTTTCTTTTAACGCTAAATTAAAAATCAATGTAAGGTCCTAAATCAGTTTTACAATGTGACTTTGCATATTGTTTATTAATCTTAGTCAAGCAGAACACGATGAATTTTTTCAGGCATAATTCTGTGGCACTATCACCGAAAGAAATATTGGAAAGATTATTGAGTTATATGGTGACTCTGCAGTGTCAACAGCCAAATTAATCATTTGGATTGAAAAACTTATTTTTCAGTTAATTAACCAAAATGCATATATTGAGAGCTTTCTATGTGCCCAAAAGGCATAGGCCTTGTCCTCAACAAGAAATTTAGCTATGGACCCCAAACTGACATGCATGTAATGATTAGTGAACAATTACGTATGTGTCAGGTCCAGTAATTCAGCCCAAAAAAGGGCTCGCACCTGAAATTATTTGGACCATTTCAGTTGTACCGATCCATCCCAAAATCCCCATCTGGGCATCTCACAGGTTGCTCAAAGTCAACGTGACCAAAAACAGACTCATGATTTTCTCCCCTCATCAGTCATGAAGTCCTACTGGTTTTACTCCTCCTCTTCTCCCTTTCTATTCCTGTGCCCATTTCATCAGCAGCCTGGACCGCGGCCATACTATAGGTAGTCTCCTAACTGGTCTCCTTCTCGCCAGCCTTGTTCCTTTCAAATCCATTATCTACCTCAGCCTCCAGAGTGTTCTACCGAAAGTGCCTCTGGGAGCAGCCACTCTCCCCAAGGCTCACAGAATGAAGTCCAAGGTCCTCGGCCTGCTGTACTAAGCCCTGCCACCAGTCATCATCTGTCATTTCCTGGTAGGCACTTTATGCACCAGCGACACAACTGCCCACTGTTCCCCAGGTATGGGCTGGACCAGCTGCTTCTGGGAGGGCTGTCATGACTTGATACAGCCACAAGACACAACACGTCCAAGTCAGCCTGAGAGAGAGACTTTGGCAAGGCAACACGAGGAAGGTTGTTGAACAAGCTGTCCCGGTTTAAGCCACTTCCAAATGATAAAAATAGGTACTCCGGGGATTGCGTTAGGCTTTGACGGGAATATATAATACTTGTAAAGAAACTTTCAGGACTCAAGAGCACTGTGGGCTGTTCTTTTAGTTCAACAGGGTGAAACTTGATAATTAAACACAATTCAGCAACCATGTTGCCATCTACACAGTCTAAATTCAACCAGAGATAATACCCACCCACTTTGAGCACCTGGCCTATTAGCATGTAGATGATTCTCATTGGACTCCAGATTAATAAAATTCGCCAAATATCAAACACCAGTTGATTTGCTTTGTTTCTAAAAATTGCTCCCTGAAATGCAAACTGGTGCAGCCACTATGGAAAACAGTATGGAGATTTCTCAAAAAATTAAAAATAGAACTACCATATGACCCAGCCATCCCACTACTGGGTATCTATCCAAAGAACTTGAAATCAGCAATACAAAAAGTTCCATGCTCCCCTATATTCATTGCAGCATCATTTACAATAGCCAAGACACGGAAGCAACCTAAGTGCCCATCAACTGATGACTGGGTAAAGAAATTATGGTATACACACACACACACACACAATGGAATATTACTCAGCAATAAAAAAGGATAAAATTGTCCCATTCAAAACAACATGGATGGACCTTGAGCATATTATGTTAAGTGAAATAAGCCAGATAGAGAAAGACAATCTCTGTATGACTCCACTCATAAGTGGAAGTTAAACACGTAGACAAAGAGAACAGATTAGTGGTTACCAGGGGAAAGGGGCAGTGGGGGGTGAGCACAAAGGATGAAGGGGTGCACCTACAACATGACCGACAAACAATAATGTACAACTGAAATTTCACAAGGTTGTAAACTATCATAATCTTAATAAAAAGTAAAAAAAACAAAATTTCTCCCTGAAATTAGGCAAAGCCAAGCCAGACTCTTATAGTAACATAAGTAATTTGCACTCTTTATCTTTTTTAATTCTCTATTGAGGTAAAAGAAATAAGCTGCCATTAACATTCTACCCTTATTCTCTAACCTTATATTTAACTCAGGAACAAATGCACTGGCATTCTTTCTTTTTAATGTCGCTGCTGTTGAACTCATTTTGCTTTAATTGCAACTGTAATAATTTCAGCTAACGAGATCTGATAGTTGAGGTTCAAATGTTAGTTCAGCTGTAAGCAGCTGCTCTGTCTGTCAATTACAGACAGGACAATGTGGTGGAATAACTAGCCCCCAAAAGCTCCTGCCATCAAACACCCACTAGAATAGCTTTTAAAAGCTTCCAGGTAATTACAAAGGTGAAACTGAGGTTGAGAACTGCCAGCCTAAAAGGAGAAAAGCAGCCACCAACTGGAACCTTAGTCAAATTGGGGAAATATATGTGCATGGGGTGGAGGGGGAGCAGTGGATGAGAAAGAGGATTTTAAGATGAGAATAAATAAGAAGAGTGGCCATGAAAACAATGCCTGGGGTCTGTGTGTGACTTGTGCAGCCAGTCTTACTACTTTACAACCTGTTGGTTGTGATTATATTTCTCAGAGATGAACTAAGTGATGTTTTCATCACCTATTTATATCTGTGTCTTCTCTTCCTTCCATTGCTCTGGGTTATTAGAAGCATACAGGGTTAAAAGCAAATATCCTTAAAATGGGACCTGCCTGCATGGATTACATTACTACAACAAGGGCATTCTGCTCATTTTCTCTTGAAACAGCATAAAACTCAGCTGCTGCAGGGGCCGAGTGGGTAAGGTACATGAGTGAAGTGGGCGCCAGTGTGTACATCTGCGTGCATGTCAAACCTTAGCAATAACATCCACGTCTACAGAGAAATATGCCCTCAGCCACTTCTGCTAAATACACGACCCTCTCAGGCTTTCATTTTCCTTCTTTTGCTAAAGAAGGTCAGATCCAAACAGATATTTCTCTACTCTAAGAAAGACAACAGAGCAAGCATGATGGCCAAGGGCGCCTTCACTGGGCCTTGCAGTCAGGGGGCCAACGGGAGTGTGAAGGACGGCGGGAGCAGGGAGGGAGGCGCCATCTGAAGGGCAGCCTCTATCCTGCTCAGACTGCTGCCACACAGCCCTGCAGAGCATCTCCATGTTTCAAGTGAAGCTGGCAATCTGGATAACTGGGGGAAGTTTCCAGATTTTAAAGGTATCAACTATTAAGGAGGCAAACATGTGACCACTGGTCAACAGAGTAGAACAAAAATGTGAAGCTAGACAACAAGAACAATATGCAAACAAAATCACTCCCCAAAACAGATGTTTTCGTCTACTCATCTTCCCGTTCATCCGAGCAACATTTACTGTCCATCTATTCGTATGATATTGTATTTGGCGATATGAGAAGATGATCAAAGCTAAACACAGCAGGACCCCCGCCTTCAAAGAGAGGTTTTGGGCTAGCTTTAAATACTAAATTATGTCATATGGATTGAAAATCCCTGGCAGGGATGAGGCTAGAGGGGAATTATCGAGTAATTCCATTATGGAGACGCTGATGTTCTTGTCTAGTTTGATTAGCACACAGGGAGAGACAGCACGGTCACTGAACTCATCACCGATGGCCAAGCTACTATCTTTCACCCTGGACTCATGGGGAAACTAAGAGGACAGATAAATGCATCATATACTAAACAAAATCCTGGTGGTTTGAAAACATTAATAATATGATTTCCAAATTGGTCTTACAGACATATAACAGGGATATTAATTACTGTTTAAATTATTCTAAAAATCAACATAATTAGTTAAATGAAAACTAGATCAGTAGTTCTCAAAGCATGGTTTGAGGACCCCTGGGGGGTCCCCCAGACCTTCTCAGGGGGTCCACAAGGTAAAAACTATTTTCATAATAATACTAAGACATCATTTGCCTTTTTTGTGTGTGTGCTGAGAAGGACTGGCCCCGAGCTAAGATCTGTTGCCAATCTTCCTCTTTTTGCTTGAGGAATATTGTCCCTGAGCCAGCATCTATGCCAATCTTCCTCTATTTTGTATGTGGGATGCTGCTTCAGCATGGCTTGATGAGTGGTGTGTAGGTCCACGCCCAGGATCCAAACCTGCGAACCCTAGATCACCGAAGCGGGGCACACAAACCTAACCACTATGCCACTGGGCCAGCCCCTCATTTGCCTTTTTGACTCTCTTTCTCTCATGAGTGTAGAGTGGAGTTTTCTGGAGGCTACACGACCTGTAATGATGTCATCGCTCTGACAGCTGATAGCATATGTGCTTGTGTAGTCTTGTGTTTTACAAATTTATCAGTTTTAATTTCTAATATTATAAATATCGATAGACATGACCCACAGAAACATAAGATCTTTGGGTTCTTCAATAATTTTTAAAGGGGCCTGAGGCCAGAAAGTTTGAATTAGATCATAAATTCTGTAAGAACAGGCACAGAGTCTTGTTTACTATCGCATCCCTAGCTCTTAGCACAGTGCCTCACAAACAGTCCACACTCTGTAAATATTTACTAAATAAATGAATGACTGCCAAAGTATATACCTAAAAATGCTTTTAGATATAGAGAGCAAACATGGAAAGCAGTGTTTATTTTCCTCAGTTGATTCTGACTAGTTACCAGCTTTGATTAAAATGGTCCCTTCATTTGTACGTTGTGCATATACAGTATAGAGATGGATGATACAGGCCATAAACGCCTTGTCACTTGGCCAACATCCTATGTTTTCATTAATAAGCTTATAATCCCACCTGCTGATTCTTCCCTGGGAAACAAGCAAATGTCTGGCAGAACAGATGGCCCCTTTGCTGCGGCCTGACAGAACGAAATCTTGCACTTTATTAAACAAGAAAACGAAAGTGATTTTCACAGGCAAGAACTTCCCCCTCTGTCCCAAAAACCTTTCCTTTACTGTAAATTTACAGAATAATAATAATTAGTAGTAGTAACACCCTCAACTAGAATTATCGTCTCTTTTATATGTCAATTATACTTCAACAAAGCTGAAATTAAAAATAAATAAATAGTAGGAATGGGAGCACCTCATTTTTGGAAAGTTCACGTGTTACTATATATGCATAAATAAAAATGTGGAATAATCAACAATATGTTAACAGTAGTTATCTTTGTTTTATTAGTTTTTGTTGTATCTGACTTTTTATAATGGCCTGTATATATTATCAGAAAAATAAATAAAATACAAAGGTTTCAGAAAAAAAAAGAATTGCCATCGCACAGAGTAAAGACATGGACTAAGGTAAGCACCATCCAAACCAGCAGGAATGGACTTGATGGTCAGCTCTTTAACCTGGGTGCCCTTCCGAAAGACTCTGATTCAGCAGGGCTGGTGGGGTTGGGATTTTTTAAATCTTCAGAAATGATTTTGATGCCGTTCCTGGAGTCTAGAGACGACACTGAGAACTACTGGCTACTCCATTGTCTTAAGCATTAATAATGAATGCACTCACGGTCACCATAAATTAGTAAGATGTTGAAAGAAACATAATATGATTTTGAATAGTGAAACATGGTCCCTCTCCTCATGCAGTTTATGCACAGGTGGAAGAGACAGATTTTAATCAAACAACCAATCAAACAATCAAAGGACTATAAATTTTCAAGTGCTGTAAGTGATAGGAAGGAGCAAAACCCACGACTTTGTGCATGTAGACAAAGATTATCCAGACAGAAGTTAGGGGTGACAGGGCTGGATCTGGAGGATGAGCAGGAAGTAACTAGAGGAAGAAAAGAGAGAAAGCATTCCAGGGAGATGGAGCAGCATGTGCAAAGACCCTGGTGGGAGGAAGCAAGATGAGAAAAAAGCACTGAGAGGAAATGACAGGATCAGAGCAGGGAGAATAGGGTGTGCTGTGAGGCTGCAGAGGCCAGGAGGCCCAGGCCAGGCAATCCTTTAGGGATATGAAGGTGTCATTTTCTTTATCACAAGGAAGGGGACAGTAGTAGTTCAGTCAGATGAATTTTGGAGGGTTAAAATGAGAGTCAAGGAGAGAAGAAAAAAAAAATGAATGCACTCACAGTCACCATGAATAAGATGTTGAAAGAAACGGAATATGATTTTGATATCACAAGATCACGTTTCTGAAAGCCAGGAAGGAGCTGGATAGTTTTGCCTAGGAGTCACAAAATCTTGCAAGGATCCTGCCTCTGTTTATAGATGGATGATTTCTGCTTGTGCTGAGCCAATCACATTGCTCTGGTACAAATCTGGAAAGGAGAAACTAAGAGATGAAGCATGTTCATGGGAGGCTCCGCAGCTGGCAGGTCACTTTGGTTGGGGCTGAGGAAGCCCCAGATGAGTAAACAGCCTGGGCCCAAAGAGTAAACAGGGGAATCTGGCTGGTGGGGAAAGCAGAGGAAGGAGCCGGAGACACAGAGAGTGCCTGGGGCCTGCCAATGTTCCAGTTTCTACTGTACTCTCAGGAGGCCTCACTGTGCTGTGGTTCTCACCCTCAGACTTCCACGAGCTTCCTCTTCCAGCTATACAAAAAGAAAAAAATCCTATCTTTCTTGAGCTAGCTTGAGCGGGCCTCAGCTCCTTAGAGAGCACTGCTCCTCTTTAATGCCAAGAAGTGGAGGACAGTGTGGTATGTGAAGATAGAATTTATTGTCTAAACCAAGAGGGTGCTAGTAATTACACTAGGACAACAGGTGTAAATAAACCAGGACTGTCGCAGGCAATGGACGTATGGTCATCCTCGGGATGGGAAACTCGTGCATCAGGAGACCCAGCTTCCATCCCTCACCCTACCCGTCCCTCTCCATTTGGCCTTCATAAGTCACTCATCCTCTTTTCCAGTGTCATACAAATACAAAGGCGATTTGATATCCACCATCATCTATCTCAAAACCAACATATTCTCACCTGCTTTGACAGTAAAATAACAGATTAAGTGATGCCTAAGGTTTTTTCTTATTCTAAGATTCTATGTCTTCGTAACTCTGAAAAGAGGCAACTCAGGAAATGAGGTAGATATACAAGAAGGTGCCCTTTAAGATCGTGTAGAGTTGACTGTCTTTACATAAACAACAATGAAGATGGCTTATTAGTTCGACTTTAAAAAAGAAGACCCCCACATATTCACCAATCATTGCTATTTGGTTAAATCATCAGTGATTATATTTTAGTTCTTGAGGCATCAGTAGAACAGCTCCAAAGTTGCTATGGCTCCCAAAAGAGACCGGCTGGTACTCACTTGCCCAGAGCCTCGGGTTCCGGCAAAGGGCAAGTGTGTTTGTCCTGTTCATCTCATTCCTGAGTCCTAACGCTATCATCCTTCCTTGGCCTGTGAAAAGGAAAAATGTGAACTGTCTCCTTCCTTCTCACTGGTTCCCTTGGCAGCCCTTCTCCTTATCAGCCAGCCCCGACCTTGGCCAGCTCCACATCCCCATTTCTGGGAGATGTTCAAGTCTCAGGGCAAATTTAATATCCTGTGCTGCACAGCAGCTCTCAAGCAAAGGTCACATGCCAGTCTCACAGAATCTCAGAAGTCTGGAGCTGGAAGGAACCCTATCTACCCCATAAACTTCAGTTCCTAGATGAGAAAAGAGTAACTAGAAACAATAACAAATGGTAGTAACATTCAGGCATGTGGGAGGGACTGTGCCAGATGCTTTACATCAATCACTTAATTTCATTCTTGCAACAACCCCAAGGTTGGTATTCTTATGACCCCCATTTTCCGAATGAGGAACCTGAGATTTCCTAGTTCCAATTTGCTACTCAGTTTGCTCAACTTAATCCAGGAATTCATTAGTGACAGAAAAAGGAATTTTAACCAAGTTCTGCTGATTCTCAGGACAGTAAAACGACCAAAGTGAGACAAGAGGCATTTATCAGGTACCTACATGCACCGGGCACTGCGCTAGGTGCCAGGACAATTAGCAGGGTTACCAAATGAAGTGTAACATACAATCCTGCCCTTCCAGGCTCTCGGGAGGAAAAGAGACTGTTGTGTTTCTGAAAAGTTCTGCCTTCAGGGAGGTCCAAACACTGGGCAGAGAAGGTCTGATTACTGCTCAGAACATCCCCCAGGAAGCACGTGTGGGCAGGCATCACCATGCCTCTTTTGCAATTGAGAAAACTGAAGCAGAAACAACCACAGGGCTTGCCCAATACAAAGTAGTAACCAGTGAGGGCAAGAATGGAAGTAAACTGTCTTGGTTCCTTCCACTTTATTCACTGGACAAAATGAAAATCTCCCTTCAATCACCTCTGCTCACTGCAGGGCTCAAGGACAATTATCACTTGAGGCAAATTCTTCTGAAAGGAATTATGTTACTAAGATTCTCAGAAGTGGCCAAACCTACTCATTTGAATTTCATCCCTTTTCTCTCGTCTCTTTTTGATGGAGACAAGCCAGGGCATGAACAATCTTCGAATGAAAAAACTAAGAACTGGAAGTCTCAGAGTGGATTATATGCAAGTCAAGGTAGGAGCAAATTGTGCCCTAACAATACTAACAGAAATAACAATGGCAGCCAAAATCGATCCCCTGTCCCCTGCCTGAGCCTGTGCTGACGGCTTTACACAGATCATCTCTCTCCATCCAGGGCTCGTGGGAAGCTCACACAATACGAGGAGGCCCTTCCTAAGAAAAAGAGAATTTGGGATACAGAATTAGGTACAGGGTCTTGGAAGGGCCTATGTGAGCGAATCGCCCAAAACTTCAGCTTTGTGAGCTTCATGGTAAATGCACTGCTGTGCCCAAGACAGCTAACATCCTTACTTTTCCAAATAATGACAGTGAGGCTCAAAGAAGCTACGTAACTTGCCCAAAGTCAAAAAGGTTGTAAATGGCAAGGCTGGGATTTGAACAAAGGGTGTCTGACTTCACATCTCATGTATTTTTTCTTTGCTTATGTGGCTTCCAACAAAAATAAAACTACCATTTACCAAGCACTAACTATATCCCATGAAAATTATACCCATTTTCCTTAATAATTCTTATAACCTCTCTATTTACATGAATTGTTATTATCCCCATTCACGGATGGGGAAACTGAGAATCAAGAAAGGTTAAGCTCATGGCCCAAGGCCACCCAGCTAGTACATGGTGGGGCCAGGACTCATGCTCAGGAGTGTTGACTTACAAAGTCCTCACTCTTTCCCACTACCCCAGGCTACCTCCCCACAGGTGATCCAGGAGAGCTGAATGGTAATGATGAAATGCGTGACCTCTGGTTCACTTACAGTATTCCCACATCTGTCCACTGAAACTAGCCTCGTCAGTGAGTTTCATACACCACATGGTGCAGTGCTGCTTAACTGGACTGGGCAATTCAGAAAGTCTCCCTACCCTATATAATTTATTAGCCGGATCAGAGTTCACTTCTCATGGAGGAAACCACGTGGAAAAGCCAATCACTAAACATCAACGCAAACTCAAGCCCCAGCCAAGCTGCCCTACAGTCACTCCCTTGCCTCCCCAGAAATGGAGACCCACAGAGCATCCGAGGGCTGGTAAGAGCTGAGACACTGGGAAGATCACTCATCTCATAGGGATCTCCTGAAACAGTCTTTCAAAGCCACACAAGAAAATTCACATGTTGACAACAGCTGCATTGCTGAACTCTAGTCACCCAAGCAAGAGTTTACATCCTTAAACGATCTCGCCATGGATTTGCAGGGGGACAGGGGTGGAGAAGCTTCAGTTTAATCTCTCCCTTGAACGTGGGTGCTCAGGGAAAAACATGGTCTTGAGAGGCTCAGGCAGTGGACTTCGTCTTCCCTTGGCAATGTGAACTTTTAAAAAATTATATCATGCTTTGCCATGACTATTTTTCGTTTTTGTTTTGTTTTAAGTAGGCCGTAGCTGCCAGATTTCAAGTAACTGATGGCTTTTGGAAACCTCTACTAAAGGAATATGTATTGCCACCTGGAACGATACTTTATTAACCAGAAGTGCAGTGATCAAGCTGGACCAGGCCCGGGCTTTTTTATCCGGCCAACAGCAAGTGCAAGCCAGTGGGAGAAATTAAGCATGCGGTTATGGGTGCTAACAAGAAAGGCTGCTCCAGAGATTTTCTTTTGTAAAGGAAAAAGTGATCCAAGTAACTCTCTTTTGTTCCTCCTTCCACACAGATCGGTGGGGGTGGGTGAAAGGACAGAAGAAATGACCACTGGTGAAGGCAACAATGGAGAAGTCTTCTGAAATGACCAGCTCTCCAACCCACTCATCTAGGGGGAAGAGAGAGGTTCAGATTCTTTCAAGAATCTAAATGAATCTTTGCCTGAAGCTTATGGCTGTTTGAGAAGAGCAAGAATCAATGGCGAGACAAAGCAAGGCAGGCTGTTGGTACAAGATACCAAGCTGCTAAGTGTTTGGGGGGTAGAGGTGGGGCGGGGTAAGCACAGACTGACGGATTGAAATGTCACCCAGCCCAAAGGCCTAACGGAGCCACCAACTGCCGTGCAGTGCCCTGCCCTGCCCAGGAAGGCAAGCACACAATAGACCACACGCCCACCGCCTCACACCACTTCAGAGGCCTCAGCAAGCAGCCGACAAACCTGCCTCCTCTGCGGTGTCTTTCATTTAGTTTTGGGTCTTCGTGAAGTGGGAGGGAAATGAGTTTGGGCCCAACAGAGATTGGGGTGTAGGGAGGGCGGGGGGCGAGATGCCAATGATAAAATATAAGTGAAAGCCTTTTTTTTAAAGTCTAGATCCACAGTCTTACTTATTATTATAAAGGGAACAGTCATTTCCATTGGCCCCCATTCTTCTTTAACCCTTACCGACCAACCCCAAAAAAACAAGGAAGAAAAGAAGGCTCTAGTCGGGAGAGCTCGCCCGGGTGCACAAGGTTCAGCAGGGGGATGGTGAGCTGCCAGAGGTCCCCCCCACCCGCTCCGGCCACCCCGACACGCGAGCGCGCGGGTGCGCACACACACCGCCCCCCTCACCTTCTCGATCGTCTGGTCCACGGCCTTCTGGAAGACCCGAGCCACCAGCAGCGTGACGCTGGTCACCAGCAGCAGCAGGGACAGCGTCCCCACCGTGTAGAAGCAGCACCTGCCCATCCTGCGCGCCGCTCACGGGCCGGGCGGCCAAGCACAGGGAAGAGGGAGGAGCCGCCGCAGCGGCCGGAAGCCCCGGGACCACGGCGCCCGCAGCGCGGCCCGGCTCTCGGCTCCCGGCTCCCGGCTCCGCGGCTGGGCTCCCGGCCCGCGCTGCGCCCGGCTGGCCGGCCGCGGGGGGGACCCGCCGCTCTGGTTTCGGTTTCCCTGGCCGGGGTGGCCGCGGCGCCCGGCAGGCGCAGCTCGGAGGGAGAGAGGGAGAGAGAGCGGCAGGGCCGTGACGCTCGCGGCCGGGCTCGCCGCAGCCCCGGGAGGCGACAGCCAGCAGCTGCGCGGGGAGCGGGCGGGGCGGAGGCCGGGCCGCAGTCATGTGCCCCGGAGCGGCGGCCGCGATTCGGCCCGCGCGAGCCGGCGGTGCCCCCGCGCCCTCGGCTCCCGGAGCCCGGCCAGGCCCCGCCGCGCCCCGCCCCCTCGCCAAAGGCTTCCCCCGGCGCCCCGGGAAATCGCCGGGCCTCCTTGACTCTTTCACTTACTCACCCCGCGGAGACGTACTGCGGGCCTACCAAGTGCCCAGCACTGGGGATTCAGGGACGAACGCGACATTGCCGCTGCTCTAGACGGGCTCACAAGTTAGCAGGGACACTGTGTCGGCAATTAGAGTGCTAACAAGTGCTTTCACGAGGGGCGTGCTGAGATCTGTGGCAACAGGCACGTTCTGCCCGGGTGACCAAAGACCCCACAATTGAACTACATCTTCGGGGATGTGTAAGGGTTTGTCATTTGAGGGGTGTGTACAAGGCTGGGAGGAGGCATTTCAAGGAGAAGAAAAAGGTGTGCTAAGACACGGGGTGAAAGAGGAAGTTCCTTTTGACTACAGGTTCAGGTGTGCGGAGTGTGGGGTAGGAGGTGTTGAGGCCCCTTGGGGTCAGACTTTGAAGGGCTCTTGTGTCCCATAGAAGAGTTGATACTTTATCCCTCAGTAGTGGGAGTCAGCAAGAAGCTTCAAGCAAGTGGCCCTGACGTCGTTCACATCTGCTTGGCTCAGCATTATGTCCCAGGCCCCCAGGCTAAAGCTTACACACAGCCGGGACTCAATGAATGAGTGTCACCTGTATGCCAGGCCTGGGCTAGGTGCTTATTTAATACCCACAGCGGCCTTTTGAGTAGGTGGCTGTTTGTCTTAGTCCCCCCAAAGCAGTGCCAGACAGGAGCACTGTGCAAGAGATGTATGAGGGAACACAGACAGGGAGCTGGACCCGGGACGCAGGTGTGACCTTTGCGAGGGAAAGAGGCAAGGAAGGAAGGTTGGGTGGAAGGATGCAGCACTAAGAAAGTTCAGCAAGGCCATGGTCGGTCCTCAAGCCAAATTGGCCTGTCTCAGGAGTCCGGCATCTCCTCGGAATAGGCCTCTTGTGCTTAGTCATGGGCTGGGAGCAGCCCGAGGGTACTGGCCTCTGCATCAAGCTGGGGATGAATATAAGAGGATAGATTTCAGAGCTCCAGCAGCTGGGACAGGCCATTGGTCAGTTAGGCTCTGCACTAGAAGATCTGAGAAGTACATTTTCTTGGCCACTATAGTAGTAGTATTGCCATTTTACACACAAGGAAACCATGGCTCTGAGAGTAACCGAAGAAGTTCAGCCAGCTGCTGAGTGGCGGGTCCTGCCTGGACCAGAATGCAGGTCTGCAGGCCTCCAAGGCCCGCACGATTTCTACCCTGTGTGTTGCTGCCTCCCAGCTGCCATCGGTGAGAACCTGGGGACAGGGAGTTCAGCTGGGATACTTTGCTGAGGACTTGGTGAGATGCTGTGATGCGTTAAAAATGGTGGCAAGTTCTTCGACACTCTTTCTATTGAGAGGTGGGGTCTATAACGTTTCCCTTTGAATTTGGGCTGGATTTAGTGATTTGTTAAACCAATAGAATACGGTGGAAATCACCGTATCCTGGAACTTCTGAAGCAAGATCATAAACACCTTGCACCTTCTGCCTAGGCCTCTGGGAACTGCTGGTCTTGGAGGCCTGAGCCACCACCAAGTCCAGCTACCCTGAGACTGCCATGCTGGAGAGGACAGAGGAGAGACAGCACGGTGATGGCCTGAGCCTGCAGGAAGAGAGAGGTCCTGCCAGCCCCTTGCTGTCCCCAGCCATTTGAATCATAGGCCCAGACATATGGAGCAGAGTGGTCACTGCCTTTCTGGGCCCAAAATGCTACAGGAAGGATTCTTGTCTTTTTAAGCCACTCAGTTTTGGCGTCGTGTGTTACTCAGTTTTAGATAACTGGAGCAGATGGTGAGGGCAGGACTGAGCCTGGGACATTGGCAATAACAGTGGCTGCCCACTCCCAGCTCAAAGCAGCTGCAGCTACCACAGGTCTTTGAGCAGCAGCCCCAGAGACCAGGCCTGGGTAGCCTGGAACGATGCAACTCTTCCAGGCCTTGTGGCCAGGGTACCTGGTGGTCCCCAGTCTGCAGGTGCCTACAATCGGCAGCCTTTCCCTAACCCGAGTCCTGTGTGGTCATGGTCCCTTCTCCCCTCATGTCTGCCTTAAGTTCCAGCTGTCTGCCTTAGCTCTGACCTGCACCCCAATTTGGCTCAGGGGCCGGACTAGCCCACTACACTCTCTTGTCCCCCTCCTAGGCATTGGTTGGGGTCCTCTGCAATCTATGTTTGTCTTCTCCATCATTAACTAAAAAAAGATTTGGTAACCTGCCTGCCTGAGTACTTGACACGCAGTGGTCCACGCTCAAATAGACCCCTTCCCCCATCTCCCAACTGAGACCAGATTTTCTGTTTCCTGGCTTCACTCTTGAGAGCAAGCTCCCTAGCTACCCACCCACTCCAGCCCTGGGCCACCAATCCCAGTGCTCTCTTCCTTCTCCGTGTTCATTGAGGTCCGTTCTTGCCTCTTGTCTGGACCACTAGGGGAGTAGCAGACTATGGGGATGGAGAGATGGATTCAGATTTACTAACCTCACCTCAGTGTGGGGAGTTTCTAACAAGGGTTTCCAACTCAGTTGCCCTCAGTTTACCTTCTCTTTGAGGCTCTAGCTCAGGCAACACCACTCTGTTGTTTCCACTATGTCGGGCAGTTGGTAAGCTGCTTCCCCTTTAAACCTCCAGTCCAGCTGGACAAAAACCTCTTTCTTGGTTCCTCTTAGCACAGCTGACCAGACTAGCATTTTAAAAATGTACTAAACACTAAGAACAAAAGGAACCTAATTTCAGAAAATATAAACAGCTTTAAAAAACAAACAAAAAAAGAACTCGTGTTCCCAAAATAGTAATCTGGGCTCCCACAGTAATTTGTGTCTTATCATAAAGAGCTGACACAACATTGGAGCACCTGGCCTGGCTGTCTTTCTGCTCAGTTCCATCTTTTTCTCCACCCAGTGGCAGCTACTGACAGGGACTTTGCTCCTATTGGCCTAAAGCCCCAAAAATTTCATACAAGCTTCCCAAAGCCCCTTGGGACCTCCTCTTCATTTCCAATCTATAGGACATGTCACCTCCAATGCTGGTGAGCATTAGTAAGTCTTTTTGTTGCCCTAGAATCATCTCACCTACAGGTGAGACTCCCTCTCTACACACAGGGCATGGCTGCTACATGGCGGGCACACAGACTGATAACCCTCGTCCCACTCTGGAGGGTCAGACAGGGAGGGGAGAGGTTACTGCTGCTACTGGTTAGACAGGGAGGCTGACGCCCCGGCAGGGAGACAGTCAGCAATTTTTCCGGTGACCTCTCTGTGCTTAACATCAAAAGAATGAGAACTTGAGAAAACCCAGTTCACTTAGGAATGAATGACTGTTGGTGCCTGCTGCAAATTACACAATCATTCAGGGCTCAGAAAGAGAAGAACTTCTTCACAGGCTCTAACACAGGCTCTAGGACCACAGCGTCTAAGTGGTCGGGGGAAGCAAGGAGGGCTGTCTGGGCCCCACTCTAAATTTAGAATGTTGATATTGTCCTCAAAGGAAGTTAATCATATAGTCAGTGTGTACTTTTATGTTAAAAGCATTAATGTGTTAACTGTAAACATTTAAAACACACCACAATTTTTACAATCCTTAATGGGAGATAATCTCCAAATGTGACTGTCAACAACTCTTCCTCTCTTTGTAGGCTCCTGGCCCCTGGAATCCAAGGTGGAGTTTATTCCCGTCCCCTTAGACCTGGGCTGGCTTTGTGCCCTGCTTTGACCAATAGGATATAATGGAACTGATAGTGGCCACTTCTAGATCTAGGCCTTAAGGGGCCTGGCAGCTCCTTCCTTTACCTTCTTAGGATCCAGCTGCCGTGTTAGAAGCTTGGACTAGACCACTGGGTGATAAGAGGCCACATGGAAAGAGATGCTGGAGAAGGAGAGGCCATCAGGATGTCACAGCCTGTCCAAACTCCCAGGTGAATACAGCCATATGCTCCATGGAACAGAGACGGTGAGATGACCACGTGACACCTGCCCAAAGCAGAATTGAGAGTAAATGCATGGCTATGGATTAACCTACGAAGTTTTGGGGTGGTTCGTTACACCATGATGGATCACTAAAACACCATGTTTTGTTATTTATTAATTGTTTTAATATTCCAGGAGCCTAAAAAAGAGTGGAGGAGCCCTTAGGCCTTGCTTTCTTTGTGATAGGCCCGGCTATAAGAGGTGTCTAAAACTCTTGGCTTTCTTAACTGTTATTGGAAGGTGATCTACAAAATGTACTGTCACATCCTCGTGATTTGATATTAGTTGTTTCTCAATGTTTGGGGAGCATCCTTAGCCCTGAGCAATGCAGGATTCATAAGAAAGAATTTCTGTACTCTTCCCGTCTTTCCTTATCCATCACCCCAAACTTCTTACATTTACAGGACTTTAGGAGACAAGTCCCAGCTCCTGGGATTAGAGCTTCTTTACCGCTCACTATATGATATCTCACTCACAGCGTGCCAGAGCAGAGGGGACCTGCGAAGGTCTCCATGGCCCTGTCTGCTGCCTCCTCCAACCAGGAAACTCTGTGGCTTCCCCATTATTATCTTTGTACCCTATGCTAGGGGAATCTTTTCTAGTTTGTTTGGGTTTGGTTTTGGTTTTATTCTGTTTGGAGTTGTGGGAAAATAAGAATCCCCCTCTTTGGGGCCGCCCCCGTGGCCGAGTGGTTAAGTTTGCACACTCTGCTTCGGCAGGCCAGGGTTTCGCCGCTTTGGATCCTGGGCGCAGACATGGCACCGCTCATCAGGCCACATTGAGGCGGCGTCCCACATGCCACAACTAGAAGGACCCAAAACTAAAAATACACAACTATGT